TATCTTTGTTAGAAGATATATATATATCTTAGATCTTCTTATATCTTTGTAGAAGATATATTTTATATTTAGTTTTGTGTATAAATAGTCTAGTGGAGTAGGTTATTGTAATTCATTGTAAATCTTTAATTTAAAGTTGTGAGTAAATATTCCTTTTGCCTTTTATCTTCCTTGTGCACCAAAAATTGGTATCTAGAGCTCCTGATTAGAAACTCTGGAATTTAGGAACATTGTTTTTTCATTGAGTTTTTGTGTAAATTGCACAAGGTAGAAGATAAACGGAAACGACGGCGATATTCATTCCAAGCTTCCAGTATTTGATGGTAAAAACTGGAATCGTTGGAAGATCCAGATGCGAGTGTTATTTGGTTCTCAAGATGTGTTAGATCTTATCACTGATGGCTATAATCTGTTAGAAGCAGACGCAACAGAGACCCAGAAGATAGAACAGAAGGCGTTGAGGAAGAAAGATCAGAAAGCGTTGTTCTACATCCATCAATGTATGGATGTGAATGTGTTTGAGAAGATTGTTGATTCTGAAACAGCAAAGGCTGCGTGGGACACACTGGTCAGATGTTACGGTGGTGACACATTAGTGAAGAAGGTGAAGCTTCAGTCTCTCAGAAAGCAATATGAGAATCTCAACATGAAGGACAACGAGAAGGTTTCTGAATACATCTCTAGAGTGATTCTGATCACTAATGAGATGAAAGCTTGTGGAGAAGCTCTGTCTGAACAAGTAATTATTGAGAAGATCTTGATATCTTTAACTTCTTAATTTGATTACATTGTTGTAGCAATTGAACATTCCAAAGATCTGAGCACCATGAGAGTTGAAGATCTGCAAAGTAGTCTAGAGCCGCATGAGTTGCGTATGACTGCAAGAACTTCTGAGAGGGAAGTAGAGCAGCAGGCTCTGAAGGTAACTTCTGGTAAGAAGCATCAGAAGCAGGCTTGGTCAGAAGCTAGGAAGAAAACTAATGGTGGTCAAAAGTCACAAGCTTCAAATTCTGATAGGCAGAAGAATGTCCAGAAGGGAAAAGAGAAGTCTAACAAGAAGAATGTTCAGTGTTACTGTTGCAAGAACTTTGGTCACTATGCCAGAAATTCCTGGTCCAACAAAGAAAGGAAGTCAGAAGAAGCAAATATAGCAAGAGGAGAGTCTGATGATGAACTTGTGCTATTGTTGGCTTTTGAACTTGATTATCTGAATTCATCAGAATGCTGGTATATGGACACAGGGTTTTCAAACCATCTTACTAGAAACAAGAAGTGGTTGGTTGACTTTGACTCTGGAAAGAGTACAAAGATCGGATGTACTGATGATAAATACCTCAATGCAGAAGGTATGGAAAATGTCATAATCATTCTAAACAATGGGAAAGCATCAGTGATCCAGAATGTTTGGTATGTACTTGGCATGAAAAGCAATCTGATGAGTGTGGGACAACTGGTTAAGAAAGGTTTTTCAGATACCATAAAGGACAATCTTCTGAAGTTGTATGACTGTAATCAGAAGCTGATTATGGAGTCAGAACAGGGAAGGAACAGAACATTCAAGGTGAATGTTAGAACTGCTGACTCTGAATGTCTTAGTGCAATAAGTGTTGTTAAGGAGAGTGAGTTGTGGCACAGAAGATTTGGTCATCTAAATTTCAAAAGTTTAGGGCATCTAAAATCAAAGAACCTGGTACATGGAATTCCTACAATCAAGAAGCCTGAAAAGTCATGCAAGGTGTGCATGGAAGGGAAGCAACCAAGATTACCATTTGCATCAGAAGTAACTCCAAGAGCAAAACATGCCTTAGGAGTAGTACATTCTGATATGTGTGATCCGTTTCCAGTAGCATCGATTGGAGGTAATAAATACTTTGTGTCATTTGTTGATGAGTTCACCAGAATGATATGGGTATCTCTCATAAAATTCAAACACGAGGTGTTTGATGAATTCAAAAAGTTCAGACTGAAGGCTGAGAATCAGAGTGGCCAGACTCTGAAGATTCTTAGAACTGATGGTAGTGTTGAGTATAACTCCACAGAATTCATAAGTTTTTGTGAGAAGAATGGAATTGAGCATGAGGTTACTGCTCCCTATACTCCTCAACACAATGGTCTTGTTGAAAGAAGAAATCGTACTTTGCTAGATATGGTGAGAAGCATGCTGAAAGAGAAGAGGCTTCCCCATACTCTATGGAGAGAAGCTATTGCAACGGCATGTTATGTGCTCAACAGATGTCCAACGAAGAAATTAAAGGAAATAGTTCATATTCAGAAGTGGACTGGAGATAAACAAAGTGTTAGTCGTCTGAAGGTGTTTGATTCTGTATGTTACAAACATGTCCCAGAAGACAGAAGTTGAATGATAGAAGTAAAGTGATGTTGCTGGTGGGGTATCACAGCACAGGTTCATACAAACTTTATTGTCCATAAACTAATAAAGTTGGGTTCAGCAAAGATGTCATTGTAGAGGAATCAGAATTTTGGAATTGGGAAAAGTCTCGTCCTGACTCTGATGACAGAACTTCTGAAGAAAGGTCAGAAATACATGTTTCTGAAGCTGGTAAAGACTCTGACTCTGAAGAAGATACAGAAGGAGAAGATGATTCTGACTCTGACTCCGATGGTGATCCATACTCTGAAGACAGTCAAGGTTCTGGAGAAAGTCCAATTTTTGAAATAAGTGCTTCTAAAGGGGAAAGTTCTGGTGTCCAAAGTTATGAAGGTCCAGTTCAGAGGCAACAAAGAGTCAGAAGCATCCCAGAAATATTTGTAGAGTTTGACATGTTGCAAGATACTGAAGTAGACTCTGAAGGAGAAGTTATTCAGTGTGCAATATTAGTAGACTCTGAACCCGTGGGTACGAAAGAGGCTCTTAAGCATCAAGTTTGGTTACAGGCCATGAAAGAAGAACTTGATTCTATAGAGAGAAACAAGACTTGGAAGCTGACAGAAGTTCCAAAAGGCAAGAAAGTCATCAGCGTCAGATGGATTTTCAAGTAGAAGTTAAAGCCAGATGGATCAATTGGCAAACACAAAGTGAGATTAGTAGCAATGGGCTTTCTACAGAAGCCTGGGCTGGATTACTTTGAAGTGTTTGCACCTGTGCGAGACATGAAACAATCAGACTAGTGATTGCAATAGCTGCTAACAGGAATTGGCCTCTGATGCATTTAGATGTAAAATCTGCATTTCTAAATGGTCCATTACAAGAAGAGGTGTATGTCTCACAACCTCCTGGATTTGAGAAAAAGAATCAAGAAGGGATGGTGTTTAAATTATACAAAGCATTGTATGGATTGAAGCAAGCGCCCAGAGTTTGAAATTTGAAGATTAATTCATTTTTCAAGGAACAAGGGTTTCAGAAATGTGAGATGGAGTATGGTGTTTATGTTCAGCACACTTCAGAAGATAATATGATTATGGTCTATTTGTACGTTGATGACATATTACTCACAGGAAGTTCTGAACAAGAGATAGTTGAGTTCAAGAAAGTTCTAATGAATGCATTTGAGATGACAGATCTTGGAAAAATGAGTTTCTTTTTAGGGGTGGAATTTATGTACTCTGAGAAAGGAATTATTTTACATCAGATGAAGTATGAACTAGAGCTTCTGAAGAGATTTGAGCTAGAAAATTGTAAGGTTGCTATTACACCTGTTGATACAAATCAGAAGTTGGACTCTGATTCTGATGGAGAGGATGTGGATGCTACAACGTTCAAACAGATGGTTGGTTCTATAAGGTATTTGTGTAATACCAGACCTGATATTTGCTATGCAGTTGGAATGCTTAGCAGATTTATGAGCAAACTAAAGTGGTCTCATTACAAAGTTGTAGTCAGGATTCTGAGGTATGTGAAGGGAACTCTGAAATATGGATTGTTATTTCTGTCTAGAAGAAAGATCGAATCAGAACTTATGAGTTATTCTGATTTTGATTGGTGCGGAGATAGAGTTGACAGAAGAAGTACTTCTGGGTACTTATTCAAATTTCTATGAGGACCTATTTCTTGGTGTTCCAAGAAACGACTGATTGTTGCTCTGTCAACGTAAGAAGCTGAATATATTACAGGTGCTCTGACTGCATGTCAAGTTGTGTGGATTCTGAACTTGCTAAAAGATCTGAAGATTGAGGTAAATAAACCTCTGAAGCTGATAATTGATAACAAGTTTGCAATCAATCTTGTCAAGAATCCAGTATTGCATGTGAGAAGCAAGTATATTGAGACCAAGTATCATTTTCTAAGGAATCAAGTTCAGAATGGAATATTAGAGGTTGTGCATTGTAGCACCCAGAAGCAGTTGGCAGATGTTCTGACAAAGGCTATCAAAACTGATCAATTTTTTAGATTAAGGGATGAAATTAGTGTTGTCAGTTTTGGATAAATATAAATTAAGGGATGGTGTTAGAATTAATTTAGATTTAATTAGATATTAATTTATATTTAGGAATATCTTTTAAATTGTTTATATATTTGTTAGAAGATATATATCTTAGATCTTCTTATATTTTTGTAGAATATATATTTTAGATTTAATTTTGTGTATAAATAGTCTAGTAGAGTAGGTTATTGTAATTCATTGTAAATCCTTAATTTGAAGTTGTCAGTAAATATTCATTTTACCTTTTATCATGGATATAGTCTGGATGCCCTTTGGGATAAGGAATTGAAAGAACATTGAGATACTCTTGGGGTGAGTATTAGAGATTTACTCCTTGTATAGATACTTAGTTAGTTAAGCACTTAGAAGTATGAAAAGTTTGTTAGCCGTTTGTTACACAATAGACAAGCTAACAAACTATAGTACTTGTATAAATATATGTTGTCTAATGTAACTGTGATACAGAGTGGAAAATATTATACAGAACAAAAGTTCTTCTCTCCACGGTCTTTAATTTCAATATGGTATCAGAAGTGGTTTAGATCTTAATAACGTTCCCACTTCATCTTCTTCTTCTTCCGCACAAAGACGAAACCCTAATCTTTCTCAACTTCAACAATGGCAAACTCTGCAACTAACACTGAAAATCAAGATTCGTCGCGTAACTCTCCTTCGAGCTTCTTCAATCCGAACTCCAACAACACCTATAGTATGAAGCTTTCGATTCAGCTCAAGGATAACAAGTATTTGTTATGGAACAACATGTTGAAGGACTGATACTCCCTCAGAAAATGCACAAATTCGTCGTGAATCCTCAAATCCCAATGAAGTAAGACTGATCAAGATCCGCTTCAGAATAATGTTTTTGCTAAATATGAATCATGGATTGTTCAAGATCAAGCCTTGTTCATATGGCTTCTCTCGACAATTTCTGAATCGGTGCTACCTAGAGTGTTAACCTGCAAACACTCTTAAGGTGCATCTCATCCTCTTGCACCTTTCGAAACTTGCCTACATAATAGTAAGCCTTATACAGGAAAATGTCAAGTTCATGTAGGAAATAGTCAAAGCTTACATATTAAAACCATATGCACTTCATATCTAAAAAACAAGTTGATTCTTGATGATATATTACATGTTCCTGCTATTACCAAAAACCTAATGTTAGTCTCTAAGTTTTCCAATGATAATCATGTCCTGTTTGAATTTCAACCTAACAAATGCTATGTTAAATGCCAGGGTTCTAAGGAAGTCCTTCTTGAAGAGTTTATGGAATTCAATGGACTTTACTGCTTCCCTAATCTCACATTGAATAAAGCCAGGTCTGTTGATCACTCCATTAGTCATAATTTTTCTTCTGTTCTCTCAAATTCAAGTAATATAGTTGATTCTGATGTATTATGGCATTGTAGACTTGGACATGCCAACTTTAATACAGTCAAAAGCATTCTCAAATTGTGTAATATTCCAATACAAAATAAAAAGTCTCATGAACTTTGTAAGCCATGTTGCTTAGGGAAGTCCCATAGATTGCATTCTCCTATGTCATTGAACCCTTATAGTAAGTCTTTTGAGTTAGTGTATACTGATCTTTGGGGACCCTCTCCCTTTCCATATGTTTCTGGTTTTAATTACTATATAGCATTTGTTGATGCCAAAACTAGATATACCTGGTTTTATTTACTCAAACAAAAATCTGATGCTATGAATGCTTTCAAGTTGTTTTTTAAACATGTGCAAACACAGTTTCAAACCACTATAAAGTCAGTTCAATCTGACTATGTAGGTGAATTTAGACCTTTCACAAAGTACCTAAATTAACTAGGGATTACTCACAGACTTACTTGTCCTCACACATCTCATCAAAATGTTTCTATTGAGAGAAAACATAAGTTTATAGTTGAAATGGGACTCACTTTGTTATCTCATGCTAGCTTACCCCTCCAATACTGGGACAACGGTTTCATGACAGCCATATACTTAATGAATAGGCTCCCTACAGCTGCCTTACCTACATTTAACTCACCTTTCCAAGCTCTATAAGACAAAAATTCTGACTATAAATCCATGAGGATATTTGGTTGTTTCTGCTTTCCTTTATTGAGCCATATAATAGACACAAATTAGAGCTAAGAAGTACAGAGTGTGTATAATTAGGTCCTTCACCGTGACACAAAGGCTATAAATGTCTAAGTCCCACTGGAAGGATTTATGTGTCTAAAGATGTTATGTTTAATGAACAATACTTTCCTTTTCCCTCTTTATTTGGTGAAAAGCCAAAACCCACCCAGGAAACTATGCATACACCTTTACCTTTTTCTTCTTTAACTTGTCTTAATGCTCAAAATCATGGTTCAGAAAGTACAACTGGTGCAGGCCCTACTAGTGCAGAGTATGTGCTACCTCGACCAATACCTCAATCAGCCTCTCACACATCTCCTACCCCACTTGATAATGATAATACTATACCTGATATGTCTCCATCATACAGTCAAGCCTGGCCTTTACCTACTGAACCTTTCTCTTATGCAAAACAATGTCTTTCCACATAACCTAGTACAAAATACTGACTATTCTACCTCCTTAAACTCACCACCAAATGCAACTACAAATTCTTAAACAAACACTTTATTCAATCTACCTGTGACCAACTTTGAATTATCTCTTTCCCCTTCTATTCATAGTTTGCAACCAAGTAACCCTCCTCCACAAAATAACCACCCAAGGCTGACTAGAGCAAAAACAAGAAATTCAAAGTCTAAAGCCTTCATAGCACATACAGAACCTACTAGTGTTAAACAAGCCTTGCTGAAATTAGATTGGGTACAAGCTTTGAAACTCGAATATGATGCTCTCATGGCTAACCAAACATGGACTCTCACTAAACTTCCTCCTCATAGACAAGATGTTGGGTGTGAATGGGTCTTCAAAGTGAAAGAGAATCTAGATGGTAGTATTAACAAATACAAAGTCAGGTTGGTAGCTAAAGGTTTTCATCAACAACAAGAATTTGACTTCAATGAAACATTTTCTTCAGTGGTGAAACCTATAACAATTAGAGTTATCATCAATTTAGCTCTCACATACATATGGGAAATTCAGCAAATTGGTATCAATAATGCCTTCTTGAATGACACTCTCCAAGAAGAAGTGTACATGGTTCAATCACCGGGATTTACTCATCAAAATAAAGATCTGGTATGTAAGCTTTATAAAGCTCTTCTAGTATTTAGCTTTACTCATTCAAAATGTGATCACTCCTAATTTGTCTACTCCAAACAAGGTATCACAATTTATGCCCTGGTTTATGTTGATGATATCCTCTTAACTGGTTCATCAGCATCATTAGTGCAGAACTTAATCAATAAGCTACACAAAGCCTTTGCTCTAAAGTGGCTTGGAAAACCAGAGTATTTTATGAGCATAGAATTTATCCCTCAGAAAAATGGCTCTCTTCTACTGACACAAGGAAAGTATATTAGAGATTTACTTGAGAAAGTAAACATGTCTCAAGCAAATGGTGTACCAACCCCCGTGCTCAGTAACTCCAAGCTTAGTAGGCATGGTTCTCAGGCCTTTTCTGATCCTCATCTCTACAAGTCCATAGTAGGTGCTCTGCAATATGTAACTCTCACCAGGCCACATATTTCCTACAATGTCAACAAAGCCTGCCGATTTATGTTAGCTCCTCTTGATACTCATTTGGAAGTTGTCCGCAGGATTCTAAGGTACCTTAGTGGCACCATCTCTCATGGTATTGTGTTTTCTCCATCTATCTCAAATCAGAAATTCTCCTTAAAAGCTTATAGTGACTCAGCTTGAGCGAGTGATCCGGATGATCGAAGATCTACATCAGGTTTATGTATAGTCTTTGGCTCTAACCTTGAGGCATGGAGATCTAAGAAATAGTCTGTTGTAGCTAGATCAAGCACAGTAGCGGAATACAAGGCTCTTGCTCATACTACTGCATAATTAATATGGGTAGAATCCTTATTGACTGAACTGTGAATTCCCTTCCACCCACATATGCCGCTTTGTGATAACTTGAGTGTCGTCATGTTATCCCACAACCCAGTCATTCATGCCCCCACGAGACATATCGAGCTCGACATCCATTTGGTAAGAGAATGTGTGGTAGCCAAGAAACTTGTGATTCGACATGTCCCTGCTTTTGCGCAATTAGCAGACAGACTAACAAAGCCCCTTGGCACTTCAGCATTTCAAGGCCTCAGGTGCAAGCTCAAGGTGGTCCCTCCTTGATCTTGAGGGGAGAGTTAGAGATATACTCCTTGTATAGATACTTGAGTTAGTTAAGCACTTAGAAGCATGAAAAGTTTGTTAGCAGTTTGTTACAAAAGATAAGCTAACAAACTATAGTACTCGTATAAATATATGTGGCCTAATGAAACTGTGATACAGAGTGGAAAATATTATGCAGAACAAAAGTTCTTCTCTCTTTCTGCAGTCTTTAATTTCAATAGTGAGGAATATAATGAATATAGTATAAGCCATAAAAAATATTCATATAACCTTTCAAGCAGAGTAATCCAGAAACGAAATTTCTTAATGTATCCTATGATTTATTAGCGTATTTCGTAAAATTTCAAAAATACCTTCAGATTTTGGAGATGCATCTTCAGGCACATCTCAAACATATAATTAATTCATTTTTTAGACACGCCTCAAATTTATAACTAAATTTATTCTATAAATACATTTTCAAAATTTTTCCGAAAATATATTTTCGAAAAATGAAATGAGTTCATATCCAATGAAATGAAAATGAAGTGAGTACGATTACAAATTATATTATGATTCTGACAACAATTGAAACCCTAATGGTAAGTTACAAACCTTTATATATCAAATTAAAACAATTAAACTTGGATTTAATCTCATTTTCAATAAACCTCTACGGACATGTAGTAACATAAAAACTGGATGCGAGTGGAAATCACAAAATAGCAACATTGGAAAAAAACTAATTGTAAATTATTGCAACTCATAAACATCCAAAGCCTTAACCACAAAGAAAAGAGAATTAAACACTAAACAAACTTGGATAAATAATTATTAATGATTTTTGGAAATGTATTTCCGAACAAATTTCACAAGTATATTTTTAGGAAAAATATGAGATGAAATTTAATTTAAATGTATTTTAGTATAATTTGGATCCGTTCAAAAATACATTTTCGAAATCTAAGAAATATTTTCAGATTTTTAGTGTTTTTCAACTATAGAGAGTGCATTAAAAAAATACTCATCCACAAATATAATTCAAGAACCTTGGCGAAATGTAACATCCACAATGAACTTGAAGATCCACTTCGGAGCTTCTCCCACACCACACTTCTATTCTTTGTTAGAGAGGTTACTTTTCTCACTCGATGATGTGCTAGCGTACCCTTGTAAAAAATCAAAAATGTTTTTAAATGTTAAAGATATAGGCAAAATACTCATTTTGGTTCCTTAACTATAAGTCATGGTTCACTTTGGTCCTTTATCTTTTTTTGTGCTAAAATGGTTCATTAAGTTTCAAAACGCAACCACGTTAATCTTTTCGTTAATTGGCCTCCAACGTCTGTTTATTTGCGTGAGATGGCAGGTGAGCTGACAGATTTCTTCATCTTCTTTATATGTAGAAAGCGTATTTCACATTGGTTCAAAATCTCCTTCACAAAATTTTATTAACGTTCTCCTTTCCAAAATTTTATGTACTTTCATTATCTTCTTCCTTTTCTCCATGAATACGAAGCATTCATCTTCCCCAACGAACCTCTGTCAATCTGAAAGTGTTGGATCATGTGTATACAGTAGCTCACGAATTACACCACTTTGCAGTTGCAGAGACAAAGTTGTTTTTCGTAGGGCAACCACTGAGAAAAATTATGGAAAATTTTTTTGGATTGTCACAATTACAAGGTAAACCCTAATTTTGGTTTGGATATGCAAGATTGTAAACAGAGTTTGATCAATTTGTAAAATTTACAGGACTCCTTGCAAAGAGGATGTGGCTTCTTCCATTGGTTTCACGAGGAATTGGCAGAGAAATTGGAAGAAGACATAAACCAAGTATTGAGTAATAGATTGGAAAGCATAACAAAGGATTTAGATGAAACCAAGAATCAGTACGAAAAATTGAGGGTTAGAAATGAAGAATTAGGGGATGTTGTGTTTGAACTTCAAATCCAACTCAACAAGATGTTGAAGTGGAAAAAAACATTGAAGATTTTGTGTTTTGTAGTGTTATGTGTATTTGTCATTAAGTTGCATTAGAAGTAGGAGTATGTAGCAATTTGTGTGTAATTTTATCAGTTTGAGAAATTTATGTGTAATTTTAACACATGTTATCAGTTTAATAAGAATTATTTTGTTTGGCATATCATTAATCAAGGCATATCAGTTCGGCATATCAGTTCGGCATATCGTTAATTGTAGCAACATAATTTTGGGCACATTTTATCAGTAAATGAACACGTCAGATTAGTTAAACTGAAAATACGTAATTGGCATGTTACATAACTATGTTCCAAAATACTGACATCTTACATAGACATGTGACAGAATGACATGTTTCAAAAGGTTAACAGAATGACACGTTAAATAGACATGTTCCAAAATACATAAACTCTAAAATTATAACTAGATGGTCCTCTTTGATGTGCTTCTCTTGGTTGGAGTAGATCACCTGGTGGTAGGACCAGTTGCATTCTTAGCTACTGAGAGTCTTGTTGTTGGTCCTGGGGGTACAAAGAGTCTTCTCACACCTAGTTTTTGTAGCTTTCCAATTCCTCTAGATTTCTCCTTTGTGTCTTGCCCTGGTACTGACTTTCCTTGTGAATATTGAGTTGCATTCATGTAACCATGTGCAACTGATGCTTGTGTTGCTACAACCTGACTTGTAGTGGTTTGAGATGCAGAAACTTTTATTGTCCCAATCTGACTTGCATTAGTCCCAACGTGACTTGCATTGCCTTGCCTTGCAGTGTCTTGTGTTGCCTTGCCTTGCCTTGAGATTCATTGCCTTGTGTTGCATTTCCTTGAGTTGCAGTGGTTTGAGATGCATTGGCTTGCCTTGCATTGCCTTGAGGTGCAGTGGTTTGAGATGCATTGGCTTGCCTTGCATTGCCTTGAGCTGCAGTGGTTTGAGATGCATTGACTTGCCTTGCATTGCCTTGAACTGTAGTGGTTTGAGATGCATTGACTTGCCTTGTATTGGTTTGAGATGCATTGGCTTGCCTTGCATTGCCTTGAGCTGCAGTGGTTTGAGATGCATTGGCTTGACTTGAATTGCCTTGAGTTGCAGTGGTTTGAGATGCAGTGCCTTGTGTTGCATTGACTTTGTAGGTTTTATTGTTATGTCCAGTTTTCTTGCACCTATAACACTTTACAATAAAACCAATTCTTCTCAATTTTCTGTCAGTGCCATCAATCTCCCCTTGCTCAAGGTTTCTCCTTTTCTTTGGTCTACCAGGCATCTTTCTAAACTTAGGTGGTTGCACATCAGGATATAGAGTTTTAGCCCACAGATTAGATCCATTCAAAGGATAAAGCACAGACCTATATATTACCTTGTACCTAGATACCCTATAATAATCTGGAATGTAATCATCAACTTTAAAATTCCTACTCTTCATGGCTAACATGGCATAAACACATGGAAGTCCTGTGAGTTCCCACCTTCTGCAGGAGCACAAGTAATCCTTCAAGTTCACAGTGAATGTTTCAGCTGGGTTTTTCACATGCCTTACTTCAAACATATGCTCATTTGACATTCTGCATTTAACATTAACAATAATATTTAACAGTCTGCAATCAACATTAACAACAACAGACCATATCTGACAAGCCATAACTTTGTGTAGGCACTTGTTATGTCCATCTTCTTTCTAATGTTGGGCAAAATATCATTTACCAAATATATCTTAGAATCTCATTCTGTTTTTTGCCCATCTCTCCATCATGTAAGTTTTGATCTCCTCTATCATTGTTACTAGTGGTTAGCCCTAACTTCAACAATAACACTATTAAATGCCTCTGACATATTGTTGAGCACAGCATCACACTTGTTGGTAGTCCTAAAATATAATCTAGACCAATATCTTGGTGGAGTCTTCATCATATAGAGATATGCCTCTCCACTGATCATTATCATTGCCCTCATCTCTCTTTCCCAAGCTTGTGAGTATGTAGATTTAGCAGTCTTCCATATAAGATCCTTGAATGTTTTTCCAGGATACCTCTTCCTGGAATTGTTATACAGATGCCTAACACAAAATCGATTTTCAATATTGGGTAGCAATTCTTCCATTGCAAGTAAAAGTCCATGTAAAATATATTCATAACTAATAGTAAATTATCTAAAAAACAATCAGATAAATATAAAGATTCAGTGAAGTATTTAGTGTACCTTTTGTTGGTCTGAAATGAAAGTGTATGAGCGACATTCATGTCCATCCCCCAGATCATCAATCAGTAGCTTCAAAAATCATGTTCAGTTATCTTTATTTTCACCTTCAACAACTGCAAGTGTTATGGGAAGCATCTGATCATTAGGATCCCTTCTTATATAATTTCACCTCTACAAAACCCCTTCAAAAAGCAACCATCAAATCCTATCACATGCCTACATAATTTGAAACTTTCCTTGCATTCTTCATAACATATGTAAAGTCTTTTAAAAAATGGTCTCTGATCATCAGCACCTTCTAGAGCAGGTTCAACATTCATCTTAATTGTTGACCCTTGATTGGCTCTTAGCAGTTCATGACAATAGTCATATATCCTAGTGTAATCACCCAAAAAGGAACCATCAACCCTATTCCTTGCAGCCACTCTTGCTCTTATTGTTTTAGTCTTGTTTACACCTACATTCCATTTCCTCAATGCCTTTTCTTTAATATCCTGGACCTTCAACCTAGGATTATTTTTCAATGCCATTCTGAATCCTCTTGCTCAACCACTTTGTGCTTAACATCCTCACATTATACTCCCTGCTGCAGTTATGATTGTCAATTACTTTCCGTATTTGCCAGGTTTCCTCATTTAATAACTTGACAAAATAAACCTCCCACTCACAACCTTTCTTACATCTCACCCTCACCCTTTTCTTATCATTTTTTATGATCTTGAGGGCTCTTTCATTTTGAACAACATACGATGTAACTGCTTTCTTAATGTCATCCTTTGAAGTAAAATACATTCTTAATTCTCATTTGTAATTGGTCATATCTTTTATCTCTTTAAAAATTGGATATTTATTCCTTTTAACCCTACTATTGTCATCATTGTCACAACCACTTTGAAGATCCTCACTGTCATTGTCACTCCCCTTATATTCCTTTGTAACTTTGTTGCACTTTCCTTTTCCTTTTCATTTTGATATTTCATTACTGTCATACAAAGTCAGGTCTGGAATTTTATTTTCATCAATGTCCTCATAAACATCAGATTCATCTTCAAATGCTACTTCTAGGGCACTATCATACTGGTAACTCTCATCCTCACTGTCATCAGAATTAGATTCTTCGTGCACCTGACCATCAGTATTTGGTTCCACTTCAACAAGCTCTACTTCAACATGTGTTGCTTCCGCCCCTACATTTGCATCATCCAATCCAGCATTACTTTGTTCCACAACAACACTTGGATCATTCAATCCATCATTAACTTCATCCACACCAACAACAGTCTCCTTTAACTTTCCATCAATGTCATCATGCAGCTTGCTAAACAACTCCTCCATCTCATCTACAATGTTCTCAGGCTCCTCAACAGGACCATCAAAATACTAAGGTTGAGACAAATTGTGTTGAATGTAAACATGAACAACATGGTACATCCTGTACAGGTTTGCAATTTCTAGGGCACCTTTTTCATCAACTAGTTCATTCATCCCAAATTGTGGGTCTTTGTAATACATTTTCTCTACATTATCCGTATAACCTAAGTCTTTCAATACACCAACTAACTCAAAGTAACTCCACCTATCAACATCTACTGACAATTTAGATACCAGGCCTCCTTCATAGACACTAAACTCTGGATCAACGAACTCACACTGTGGTGGATTACGAATTTCAGAAATTCATCCATTAAACCTAAATCCCAGAAATCCCATAACAAATATACAGATTCTTATATCAAATATCCAGTTACGAAGACAAAACAATAAACATACCTAGAAAGCAATCACCTACGGAGTCACCTTCGCAAGCTTCGCAAGCCTCTTCCTCTTTCCTTTGGCTTTCGTTTTGGGCAAACAGAACATGCATTTGCTATCTTCAGTTTTGAGAGATTGTTTGTCCTTATTCCCTGCCACGTTGCCTCCAATAAGCCACTTCAAGCATAACAACTATCACCTGGAGTCTGCTTTTCACTAACAGAAGGACTAACGTGGTTGCGTTTTGGAACCATTTTGGCACCAATAAACCATGAACTATAGTTAACGGACCAAAATGAATATTTTGCCAAAGATATATTTCTGGACACATTCAAAATAACCACACTTCAACACTTATATGTGAGTCACCCATAGTTTATAGAAAATAATCGGAAAGTGTATTTCAAATTTCAAAAATATACTTTCTTAAACATCCATGTGAATCTATAATTGTGTACTCATAAAATAACGATTGTGTGCTCCATCTTTTATATGCTACTTGTCTCCATCCCTTCCAAATCAAATTTTTATTATTACGTAAGCACCAAACCATTGGTTTAGGTAATCTCACCATACCCACTTTCGGAATGACTGCAGACCATATGGTTTATGTACTCTCACCATACCCACTTTGGGAGTGACAGGTAATTAATCTGAATTTAGTTCCAAAGGTAGCAATAGTCAAGCATTTGGGAGTTACAACACAATGTTGTTACTGATCGATCAGCCATAATCAAATTGGCAGAACGGGGAATCAAGCCTAAAGTAAGCATAATTTAAAAAGAAAAGATGGGGCACACAATGATTATTTTATGAGCACACAATTATAGACTTAAAAGGGAAGTCCATAACTCACCCGGAAATATAAAAAGGACAAAGTCGCCCATCCCATGTGATGAATAGAG